TTCAAGGTTGGACAAGGTGTTGTTGCTTCAGAGATGCTCTTCTGCACACCTTGGTTGGAACCAGTGCTTATTTGACTTCCTGTTGCCTTTCTATCATCTTGAACCAGTCTGGCCATTCTCCTCTGACCTCTGGCATCAACAAGGCATTTTGGCTCACTGGATATTTTCTCTTTTTGGGACCATCCTCTGTAAACCCTAGAGATGGTTGTGCTGAAAATCCCAGTAAATACTCAGACCAGCCCGTCTGGCACCAACAACCATGCCACGTTCAAAGGCACTTAAATCACCTTTCTTCATCATTCTGATGCTCAGTTTGAACTTCAGCAGCTCACACAGCTGTTACATGAAGTGTGGCTACAAAAGACCTCTCTCATGGCAGACATTTTTACTTGGCAAACCAGGAAAAGCACAAGTGTAATAACATTAATCATGGCTGCATTCCCTGATACTGTGCATTCTGGCTCACTGTCATGGCGGAGTGCTGGGACACCTAAATGGAACAGAGCCACCTGTAATGTTATCAGTAACGCCTGTGTTTTTTCTACTATGTCTGCTGTGGAAAAAAAGGCACATTTTTTTTAGGCCATCATCCACTGACTAAACTGATCACAAACCAAGACCCACCTGGATTTTAGAGGTTCACTGTCTCAACTTTACAGTGTACTGGCTTCACCTAAATTTAAATGACAAGACTTGAGTTCCTGATCGTTAAAGGGGAACACCATATGAATTAAGAATTCCAATACGTTATTTCCATGGCCGATATGTCAATCAATATTTGTGACCATGAGCTACTCTCTTTCAAAGCCAGAAACCAGAGAAGTAAGTCTCAAACTTGTGATGTCACCAGGCTGTAAACACATTTATTACTGCTGTAAAGTTGGGCATTTTGACATGTAGGTCTGTGGCAGGCATGCTCAAAGTCCATCCCGGGGGCCAATTGTGGCCCGCGGAACAATATTAAATGGCCTCCAGCTTGTTGTTCAAAATATACTATATGTGTCCCACCACACAATATTTGTGAATCAAGCAAGAACACTTTGCATTTTTTCCGTTCACCTCCCAGTCAACAGCAGACATTTCCTGTTTGGTAGCAAACTTTCGGGAGCAGTGGAAAGTTGAATTATTTTCCATTGAAAGACGAAACAGTTGTCTCAGT